AAACCACCATACAAGGTACTTTTATTTTCAAGATTTGGAGAACATCTTTCCACCCAAGATAGTAAGAGCATTTTCTAAATGCTCCCTGTGTGCCAGGACCACTGCAAGCACTTCGAATGTATTAATTTATTTAATCCTTATAATAACTGTGAGGTAGGCACTATTATTACCCTTTAAGATGGGGAAACTGAGCCACTGAAGTTAGGTAACTTGCCTAAGGATATACTCCTAAGAAGTGGCAAAGCCAGGATGCCACCCCAGGCAGCACCTGACACCGTCAGGTGAACCCTGTGACTCTGGCCAGAGCCTGGCCTCGCACACAGCTCCTGAGTATTCTAACCTCTCTTCTCCCTCTCAGTACAACTATGATAAGAGCATCGTGGACAGTGGCACCACCAACCTTCGTTTGCCCAAGAAAGTGTTTGAAGCTGCAGTCAAATCCATCAAGGCAGCCTCCTCGGTCAGTGGGGCTGAGTCGGGGGTACAGAGATGACTTGAGTCCGAGGGAGTCTGTTGAGTCACATCCTTCAGGAGCCAAGTGTCCCCCTCAGAACCTTCTACTTAGACTCTTTCGTGGGTGTTTGCTTGTCACACAATCCCCCTCGAACAGTGTTGGCCTCATTCTCCCACTCTCCTCCTCTAATTCCTGGGTTCAATGGACCTTTCCCCATTTGGATATTCCAGGAAAAGCAAAGGCCAGTGAGTGTGATCTGAGGATGGGAGGTGAGATGGTGGCAGGGGCTGGTTCCTCACTGTCTCCCTTTCTGCCCGCGGCAGACAGAGAAGTTCCCGGACGGCTTTTGGCTGGGGGAGCAGCTGGTGTGCTGGCAGGCAGGCACCACCCCCTGGAACATCTTCCCGGTCATCTCGCTCTACCTGATGAGTGAGGTCACCAACCAGTCCTTCCGCATCACCATCCTTCCACAGGTGCGTCCCTCCGCGAGGCAGCGGCCCCAGGAGACAGTACATGTAGGGAGATGTCAGTACGTGGTTTCCCAGAACTTGGAAGACATAGATGAGTGTCCAGGGGTGAAGGGCTCGTGGAAAAGCAAGCCCTCGGAGCTCAGGGATGCCGACAGGAAGAGCGGGCTAAGGACACAGCCACTAGAAGGCAGAGGTGGGGTGCATGATGGAGCGAGGAAGACACTCTGACGCTTTGACTCCTTATCCTTAGCAATACCTGCGGCCAGTGGAGGATGTGGCCACATCCCAAGACGACTGCTACAAGTTCGCTGTCTCCCAGTCGTCCACGGGCACCGTCCTGGGAGCTGTCGTCATGGAGGGCTTCTACGTGGTCTTTGATCGGGCGAGAAAGCGGATCGGCTTTGCTGTCAGCGCTTGCCATGGTGAGCGCCAGGGTGCGGGTCAGTCTATCCATGTCCCCCCTGTCCAGCAGGCAGCAGATCTGGGCCCCGCCAGTCTGGGAGGGAGGAACAGTTGCCTCGAGCCAGAGTCAACAGGTTGTGCCAAAGCCAGAGGCAGCGCCTAAGCTTCCCACTGCCTGGCGTGGTGACCCTGCCTGCTTGGGAGCTTCTGCTAGACGCCAGGAGCAGCAAGAGCTGTCAGGCACCTGCAGGAGCTCAAGAGCAACAGGCTACAGTGTCCCTGCCACCTGCCGGAGGGAAGCTTAAATGCCATTTCAGAATGGTAGCGGGTGCCCTGCCCAGGCTTCACAGTGGTTAGAGCACTGGCCCATACACCAAAGGGTCATGGGTTCGATTCCCAGCCCCAGCCAGGGCATGTGTGGGAGGCAGCTAATTGACGTGTCTCACATCGATGTTTCTCTCTCCCTCCCCCTTCTCCTCTCTCAAAAAAAAATAATGGAAAAAATATCGAGTGAGGATTAACAAACAAAAGGTCGCTGTTCTCTGTGGCCTGGAGGAGATGTGCCTCCACCTGGCACTGCTTTCTACAGCTCCTTGGGGCCAATTTCAAGGCCTGGTCGGGAGGTCCTTTTCTTGCATAATCCAAACTGCGGTGTGACACTGAACTGCCTGCTCACATCTGCCCTTTCTCCAGTGCACGACGAGTTCAGGACGGCGGCGGTGGAAGGCCCGTTTGTCACCCCGGACATGATGGACTGTGGCTACAACATCCCACAGACAGACGAGTCAACCCTCATGACTATAGCCTACGTCATGGCCGCCATCTGCGCCCTCTTCATGCTGCCACTCTGCCTCATGGTGTGCCAGTGGCGCTGCCTCCGCTGCCTGCGCCACCAGCACGATGACTTTGCTGATGACATCTCCCTGCTGAAGTGAGGAGGCCCATGAGCAGAAGACAGAGCATCCCCTGGACCATCTGGGTGGTTGGTTCGACTTGGTCACAAAGAGATGGCACCTGTGGCCAGAGCACCTCAGGACCCTTACCCACCCACCAAATGCCTCTGCTTGACAGAGGAGGAGGAGCTGGCAAGGTGGGTTGCAGGGACTGCACCTGCAGGAAACAGGACAGGGAAGAGACACGCTCTGGTGGCAGGAATATGTCACCTCAAACTTGAGTTGGGAAGTTCTGCTGCTGGAAACTTCAGCCTGATCTTTGCCCACCACCCCTTCCACCCTCCCACCCAAAGCATTCCTCTCTCCCCAGTTCCAGAGTGGGCACACCCCACCGGTCACCCAGGGGTGTCTACAGGGCTCAGCCTTGCTTCCCTGCTGCCCAAGGCAGTAGGAGCAAACGCAGTTAGCTTTTGCTTTAGAGATAGGAACTGTATCAATGGGCTTAACATTGGTGCAAAGACTGCCTCTTGAATTAAACAAAAAAATAACCTGACTGAATGTTTGTACAAATGGTTGGAAGAGGAAGAGAGGGAGTGTGAAGACAGGGGACACTGGGAAGGAAGCAGGAGAGGTAGAAAGGACACCGCCAGCTCCTGTTTTAGGCTTCACCTCCAAGACAGAACCCTCTCGTAAACCGGTGTTGCTTCCCAGAGTTTTCTTTGCTGTGTTTGCAGCCTATCAAAAGGGAGGTGGGAAGAAGGGCTTATTTGCCAAAAAGCTCTTTTTAGCTCTTAAATTAAAAGTGTCCACTAAGAAGTTCCATCTAACAAATGAATTTCTACCTTATTGATTCCACTTGTCCCTACCTGGACGCTTTGCTCTACAAACGCTCGGTAGCCGTGTAACGTCCCAACCCTCCCAAACCCCAGGCGTCCTCTGGGAAAGCAATGGGAACAAAGCAACTGAGCGGGGCTGGGCCTCGCCTTCCTGGGCACCTCTCCACTCCTCCCCCAAGCCCCGAGACCTCGGAGCTCTGCAGCTGAGGTGCTAAGAAGAATAGACAGGAGCCCTCTCCTACCTAATAATCCTCGAAAGCGGAATCCTAAAGATTCATTTCACAGGCACAGGGGTGATGCCCTTCACCCGCCTGGAGTTCTTCCTGTTCAGCTGTAAGATCTTTACATAACACAGAGCCGTTTCATTGCCTTCTCACCCTAGGTCTCAGCCGCCACGTATTTGGCTAAAGCATCCCCAGTGGCACAGGTATTGGAGCCAGAATGTCAGAACATAGGGCTCGTTGACTATAGCACCGTCACCTTCAGTGTCCAGGCTGCCTGGAGAGAGGATGGGGCCTCGACTTCCTTCCTTCCTTTTCCACAAGAGCCCCTCAATTTCCTTTTCTCCTGTCCTGCTCTCTACTCCCCACTCCTAATAGTACTTGGGTATCCAGGCTAGTTCTTGCGCTAAGTACTGGGGACGAAGTTCATTTCCTATCCGTTCTAACACAGTCAACTATGATACCAGTGTTAGTGGAAAGCAAATTTTCCCAGTATACCCACTGGGCCTCATTCCTCTGTGGTCTGCACCCTGCTTCCAGGTAAGGGGCCTGCTGAGTGTGAATTACCTGAGGGAGAGGGAACTACAAGGAGGGCCCCTGGAATCCTGGCTTCAGCCAGCTGCCACAAGCCATACACAATAAATCAAGAACACCGAGTCGTAGTTTCTATCTGGACTCTCTTCACTCCCCTGCACCTGGTGCTGTTTGGCTGACAGGAACACCCCAGAACCACACAGACTGACAGGAAGACTGGAGACTGTCCGCTTCCAGCTCGGAACTTACTGTGTAAATAAACTTCCAGAATTGTTACCGTGAAATAAAAATGCCGCATTCTGCTTTATAATTTCTACCCATGTTGGGAAAACTGGCTTTCCCCAGGTCTTCCCAGGGAACACAAGTTAGCCCCTTCATTAGTAAGCCCCACTGTCCTCTTTTCCTTTCAGAGAAAACTTGGGCTCTCTTTTAAGAGTAACTTCCTTTCTATCCTGGAACTACAAACTCTAAGTGTAAAAAAAAATTTGTTTTGAAAACAGCTTCTTGCTTGCAAAAATATGTATTCTATATCTCTATTTTTAAATCTATTCCAGAAAAATGACTGTCCCATCTCTCCTCACTGCACTAGGCCATTTCCTGTTGGTGTGCATGGCTTTAGCACTGCAGGCCAAGGACAGAGGGATGAAGGGACAGAGGGAGAACAAGGCTGGCCCAGACTCAGGGCTGCTTTCTGACTGACCCTGACTAAGAAGAGAGCAGCGATGCGGCCCCAGGTCCATGCACGCCTCTCCCCACACTGTCCTCCAGCTACAGATGGCTTTCCAGGTTTCTACCAGGAAGCAGTTAAGCCCCTTACTCCCTCCTTTGGCTTCAAAGATTTGTGGAAAAGGAACAGAATATTCTTTATACCTCCTGAAAAGCACTGCAGGTGGCCATGGGCTGCTGCAAAATTGAAGGGAAATAAGATATTAAGATAACAAGATGAAAATGACTCCCCCACCTTCCCCCGCCAAGGGAAAGAACAAAGGAGCTAGTCTTCCATTGGTGCCTTCCCTTACCCCGACAGCTACCGCACTGGAGTCACGCAAGTCCCATCAACCAAGGCAAGTAGGTTATCTGACCTCTGCAGAGGGGCGTATGCAGGCCATCTCAGTGACCCTACAAGATGCCAAGGAGCTCTTGGGAGATCTAGCTCCTCCCTCACACTAATGCCAGTTAACAAACCGGGGCAGTAGGAGAAGACAAAGAGTACGTCCATGAGCTGACAGGCAAGGATGAAACAAAGAAGGAAAAGAGTAGCAGAAACGGAGAGGAGAGAATTTAGATGGATATGCAAGGAAAAGTCTTTGCTACCTTAGTGCACTGCTAGTGTGAGCGAGCATTTCCACGTCCCAGAAATGAAAAAATTCAGCTGTTGGTGATATATTAATCTCCTTCCCCTGGAGCTATTCTTAAAAAAATTAACACTTCGTTTTTAGTTGTTTAATTCCACAGAGAAGAGTGCTGAAGTCACTTCTGGTAAGAGTAAAGGTAAGAGGATGCGAAAGCTCTAACAGAGCCCCAGCGTTTCGGGGTACAAGCCAGAAAAGCTCAGTGGCAGAGGGGAACACTGATCTGGTTCTGGGTGGCTACCCAGAGAACACATGACTTCTCAACCTCAAACCCACCTCCCTTCCCAGCACTGGGGTCTCTATCTTCCCCGGGGCAGAAACACGTGTCCCCCATAGCTCTCTTGCTTCAAAAATGAAAGCCCAGCATCTCAAGATCATTCTGAAAATAATTTTGCACTGACATCTCTCCTCAACTGGAGCGCATCCAAGTCACCAAACAACTTGGCTGTGAACGACTGCCTTAACCTTCAGGGGGAGGGCTAGCCAGACAAGAAGACCAGAGGGAAGGGAAGAGGGAGGCCCTTGTAAGGCTGGCCGCGTCGGTGGTGGCAAGGGGTGGCTTCCGGAGCAGACCTTCAGATGGTGCTAGTTTCTGAAGAGATGACTACTGAGGAAGTGGGGTGAACAGAAGTGAGGGCGTGGGGAACTGGGACCTGGTTATGCTGTTACTCTTGGACTGTGAATTTTGCTGTTGTAAAACAGAATATTCTGTAAACCTAAAGCCTATGTACAAAACATAAGCATTAACACAGTAAAATACTCAGTGAAAAGTCAAACTCTTAGGGTTACATTTTTTTCCTCAATCAGCCTCATTTCATCCGTTTGGAGAGTTGCTAGGACACCAAGGCTTCCAAAGGCTTTCCGTAGTCAAGGCAGCTGGCCGGACAGAGGGTGAGCACCAAGGTTCAAATCTGCACACATGAACCTTAGGAAATGGACTAGTGGTTGAGCCAAATCAAAGCAGGATAGCCTTAGAGCCACAGCAGCTTCCTAATGGTTTTTATACTGTATTTGAAAACAGCCTTAGGCAGGAATTTCATAATTTCAAGGCCAAACTAAATATCATCTTAGCTACAATCTGCATCCCCCTAAAGGAATTGCAAGCTGAGGGGGACAGACCATTTTTGCATAATATACATACTTTCATTACGAACATTTGAATACAGACTTTCTATACACACATTTCCTATATAATAAAAATGTACATGGCATGAGTATACGTCACTGTATAAATATAGAGTTTTAGAAATCTTGAACCCGCGCTTCCTGTTCACATCAGCTTCTCTTCTTCCTCCCCAATCAGGTCCATCATTTAAGAGTTGGGCAAAAGGGACAAGTGTCATTTGTGTTGGTCTGGGCCCAGAATTTGATGCACTGGAAATAAAGAAAGACACACCTCAGGTTTATCTGGAAAGATGGAGGGAGGGAGGGAAGGAGTGCTATTATGGTTCAATGGGTCTAAGGACTACTTACTAAGTCACCTCCAAAAGAATCTTCAGAGGTGGACCTGTCCTTTCATAGGGAACATTAACAACCTGCTAATAACAGTGTGCAGCTAGCTGCTTTTTGTTGAATATCCAGGCTGTTCCTTCTAATGATCCATTCAGGCTTAGATGAACTTCCATCTGCTAATACACATCACCTAAAATCTTATTCAGGATTTTCCCTTACCAAGAACTTAGATGTAAATTCAGTTTCTACCTACTGTTAAAACACAATGAACAAAATATAGTAAAAAAGGAATCATCCCTGCTGCTATTAACTCTGCTTGGTAACAGTAAGTGATGGGAATGATTGTCAGTGTGGAAAGATAATCTCTAATAGACTTCAATTCTGTTAATGGAGTTACTAATTTCATACCCAGGCTCTCTATTCCATTTCTCTCATCTAAGCGGTCTTCTGACAATGCAGTATTTGAAACAACAGTTAGATATGTATATCTTATTGTCAGTTTCTCAAGAAAGTGACCTTTCAGAGCTCTGGTATGAACTGCTTATCAAGTCTCCTAAGGGAACAAGGTAAAAGGAAGCTGGAAGATCCCAGCTGCAGTATCCTAAATTCTGCTGATGTTTAAGCCACAAGTTACTAAAAACCTTATGTTTAGGTTTTGTTTTGTTAATCCTCACCTGAGGATATGTCTACATGCCCAGACCCCAGAGGGAGTGGGGGCTGAAGCCACGGGCTGAGGCTCTCACCACTTGGCACACTGGCCAGGGCAATATGTTTAGATATTAATGCTGAGCATCAACATTAAAATGTGCAAGAGAAATTCTCAGTTGTCAGTAAATAAAGAGTTGGAAATGGGGAAGGAATGTAGCGCCCACCTCCTTATGTAACACGTGGGTACATGCCATTGGATGCAGCTCGCTGGGCTGGACCAGCTTCTGGCACATGAGACACAGCTTACAGGTGGCTGGAGCCTGCAGAACAGAGGAGGACGGGCAAAGGGTAAGACAATAAGAAACCTCTGGGTCTCCTTCCCTTTTATGCCCATGACTCCACCTAGTGTTTCCATTCAACAAAAAGATTTTACACCAGAAGAAGTAAAAGTTCAAATACAGATTCTTGCCAAAAGTACGTACATTTTCCCAGTTGTGGCTGCCAACAACCCGGCTGATGAGAAATGGTTTCCTCCTACCCTCCATCTGTAAACCAGCCCTCCCACTGACATCACGCCCCACCTTTATATCCTAGTTTTCAAAGAAAATGAGTCTTACATGTGAAGACCTTCCAGGATATGAAACTTGTGCAGAAGGCAAGAACATTGGGGTATTGATTTGGGCCAATGGGGCAGGGAACAAGGCCCGGATCCGACCGAGTGGCTGTGGGAGAAACATTGTGAGAGTAAGGAGAGTCTGAGTCACAGAGCCTGTAACTAAGGAAATCACTTACTCCCAGCCCAGCAGAGGAAGAAGCAGACTGCGCACTCCTGGCTGCAGCAAGTGCTTCCCTCCCCAAGTTTTTCTCAAAACTGCCTCTTCCTCAACATCTCGGCAGGTCTGCGCTCTCCCCCCAGGACCTTGTCTTACCTGAGCACTTGCTGCCACTCGCTCATGTTCTGCCAGTCGTGCAGCTACCAGCTGGATCAGTTCCTCCATGGTCAGGCCTGCCATGGTGGTACGTGCCGTCTTGATTTGCTGAAGAATGTTGGTCATCTGGGCCCTAAAAAAGGGGGAGATATTTTGTTATACTCGTAGGGAACATCCATAAACCTCTCCTATGCCCCTCTGACAATTTTTTATTAGTCCTTAAAGACACTTACTTATTGCATTGTGGGAACCGAGCCAGCAGTTTTTCCAGGATCTTCTCTAGTTTGTCTACTGGTTGGGGCCGGGGAGTTTCAGTAGAAGCCTTAACACCGCCCAAGCCTGGGGGAGGCGGGATGGAGGCGGCAGGGGGCATGTGTGGACCATGGGAGCCAACAAGGGAACCCAAGCCAGGGCTATTTCTCCCATGGGAGCCAGGAATGGGTGGGGAAGGCTGGTTGGGCTGGGAAAGGGCAGGGTTCAGGATGGGGAAAGACAAGGAACGGGGATCTGCACTGGGCATAACCATGGGCATTGTGACCTGCCCAATGGAGAAGGGCATCCGAGGAACCAAAGAGGGATTGGGCTGAAACACCTGAAGCATGAAGTCTGTCTGCAGAGGGGAAGAGGTGGAGGATGCAAGAGAAAGGGAGAAATTAATGAGCAACTCTTACACCAAATAAAACCAACAATAACCAGTATCTTCTTTACAAAAACAAGTGAAGGACTCTGGTTTTTGTCACAGAAAGCCTGACTACCCAAAACCTACATTCTTACCTCGGACGGGGGCGGAGGCAGAGTGGGAGTAGGGATCTGAGGAAGGCTACTCAGCTTGGCCCCATTCCGCACTAGCTGGATGTGACTATTAAACTGGTCCTAGAAAGGAGGAAAGGAAGGGATGATCCTTCACTGACGAGCTGAGTGAGCCTCCCTAGAAAGACAGCACCCACCATCCAGTCTGAAGAGAACAGAGGGAGCGGCAGATAAGCTCTCGTGGCAAAGCAGAAGGTCCCTGCCCCTCACCAGTTTAAGTACAGCCTAACTCAGACTCAGTGCTCCCCATTACTTCACTTACCCGAACATTCTTTTTCATCATCCGAACTCCATTCAGTCTTGTCTCCCACTCCTGTTTGGAACGAACTGTGTCTAGTGTTGGGGGAGTTGACCTTTCAAGAAACCAACAGGAATTTACAGAATTAAAGAAAACCTAACTCTCAACGCTCTGAGATAGTCTAAAAGGAATGGCCAATGGACCAGAAAGAAGAGGTCGAACCAGATGGAAGAGAAGGCCAGGGATCTAGGTCGTGTGCCTCACTTTATCTCCAGCATCTTTTAAGCCAAGTATTGGAGAAAGAGAACCAACCACTGAGACAGGGGTCTTATCTGCCTGAGAAGGCCACAGGGTCCTGCAGATTCCATGGCAAGAAGAGAAATGACTACATAAGAAACAAATCGCCAAGGATATTTGATATGCTTCCATAGCATAAAAGATACTGTTTATACAACTGGGAATAATACAATAGAAAACACAAAACGAGAAGACTGCAGAGAGGAAGAGTTAGAGAATGCAGAAGTCAGAATACAGGAAGAGAAATCACGGAACAATTACTACTGCACAGACAGGGATGACCTTGAAATTCCCGTGATGATACAGCAAGTGCCAGACTAGCTGGCCTAGGGTTTCAAACCCTTAAGAAATCAAAACAAAATCCACAACACTGCAGGACCACTAACATTCTAGGATGGGACGATACCTACTTGAGGTAAGTAAGGTGCAGCTCTGCCTCTTTTTCGGCTTCTTCTAGCTTCAACACCAGCAATTCTTTCCGACTCTCTAGTGATAAGATCTAGGAAAACCACACACACATACTTGATTAATTTTAAATATACAGAGTTTAGTTAACAAAATACTTAGTGACTATATGGTGTAATACTTACATGGCTTACTGGTTAATGCTATATCAAAAGGATTTACCATCGGGAAGCCCAAAATCAAAGCCTTCAATATAGCAACTCTTCTCACCTCTGCCTTCCAGGCCCGTTCTGTCTCTTCCATAATGTTCTGATTTATTTCACCATCCTGATTCTTCAGTCTATCTAGTTCCATTTCCCACACCTCTCTGGAAGATAAGAAATGAAGAACAAGACTAAGGGGAGAAAGACAGGAAGGCAAAGTAAAACCCAAAATTAGTCTGCCCAGTATGTTATAGGAAGTCTTACTCTAAGTAGTAACTATAGATATAGACAAATAATGTTTCAAGCAGTCTGTAATTGCACAAAGGCAAGTAAAATCTGAACGTTAAAATGTTCATATCTCCACTTGCTAAAATAAGGTTACCCAGACCAGGAAAAAGAGTGTCCTCGGAACTAAAACCCACTGCAGGTAAAACGTCCTTCTATGATCAAGGAGGGCTCAAAATCATTATGGCATCCGTCTTATTTCCAACTTATCTGGAGAACGCAGGACGAAAAACAGGGATCCATTTAACACTAATCTCTAAGTCACCTCTAAGCACAGTTACTGGGTTACTGACGTTACTAATCTCTCAGCTGCAGTGAACATTCTTCAACAGGAAGAAACCTTCTCTTCAGATTTCAGGACCTCACACTCCCATCCGTCTCTTCCCTGCCACTCCCATCCCTGGAGTGTAATATCCACACCGGGTTAGGAGGACAGCTGCCTGTCTGCCTACTACTGAAGGATTTCCCAGGATGGGGGACAATGAAGGGACAGAGCCAGCAAAAGAAATTCCTTATATTACACTTGATTGCAATAAGCTTTATGGCTGAAAGGAACAGGATTATCCAGATCAGTCGACAGAATAATATAGAAAAGTTTAAATTATTTTAAGAAGGTGAAAAGGTTGAAAAGAGCTACATCTTTAAAATGTTCCCAGTTTTCTTCAGTGAGAGAAACAGTTTTATTCATTCCTCTTCTGTGTTCTTAGTAGCCTATGTATTTACTTAAATTGTTGCAGTCTCTTCTTTCGCTTGACCCAATGCTCCACACATCCTGTGCTCTGCTTCACAGATAAAGTATTGGTGTGTTTGTGCGTATGTATGTGTCATACACATACTCACTGATTCACTAACAGGAGTCTGCCCCTCTACTAACAAGGTCTATTTAATGTAACAGAAATGACTAGGTGGGCATTTTCTTCCTTAATCCCCATGTGTTGTGCTCCTCAAACTAACTTCCTGCCAGAGGAAAAATTCTCTAATAGTTATTTAGACAAAGGTTTACAGTAGATGTGTTTTCCTGCTATAACACAAATTCCTCAAGTTAAAGATATATGAGAAGTCAAAATTCTCTTAGCATAAGAATATGTAAAATACGTTGTGGGGTCAATCCATGATTTCTTTAGCCTACCAGTCACTCTTTGACAAAGATAATTATAGGTAAACATTAGTTGCCTTCTTTGATCAATGTTATCCTTGAAGATTATAGATGCTCACTGAATATCTCTAACTTCATTAAATACATTTGTCAACGACAGATAGACATTATATTAGAAAAATCCTTCTACCATGCCCATGGAGACATTCCACATATTCACACACACAGCTTTTCCTTTGGGCATTTGGCCACATCTACTTCATTGGATCCAACAAGACAAAAGGGACTACTAGCAACCACAACAACAACAACTGCTAGCAAACAACTTTAAAAAATCATAAAAATGCTCAGCCTTATATGTTAACTCACCTGTAACATATACCAGATTTCATTTCACTAAAGAGTACTACTACCTGCAACCCATGCTAGAAAAAAATCAGTTCCCTAGATAGTAAAAAGGAATCCTCGGTAGAATAGAAACAGTGCACTGAGTCTATTGTAACTTTTTATTTTTACTTATTTTTTTATTGATTTTAGAGAGGGAAGAAGGGGAAGGGGGGAGGGAGGGAAGGAGGGGGAGAGAGGGAGAGAGGGGGAGAGAGGGAGAGAGGGGGAGAGAGAGAGAGAGAGAGAGAGAGAGAGAGAGAGAGAAAACACCGATGTGAGAGAGATACATACGTCTGACTAGAGATATGTCCAACTAGAGATGGAACCCACAACCTAGGTATGTGCTCTGACTAGGAATTGAACCCTTGACCTTCTGGTGCATGGGATGACGCTCCAATCAACTGAGCCACACTGGCCAGGGCTATTGTAACTTTTTAAATGCTTCATTGAATTTCTTTCAAGTCCCATGTTTCTATTATTTTAATAGCTAGTTCAGGGAATCAACAGTTCAAATGAATAAATCCTACCAGAAGCCTGACTTATTGTAGGCCCCAATGTTTGCATCATAATTTAAAAATTAATTTTATTTTTGATCAGGTAAATAATACAAATTATAAAAAGTTTAGAAATACAAAACATAAAGAATATAAAGCCCTAGCCTGTTTGGCTCAGTGGATAGAGCATCGGTTCTTGGACTGAAGAGTCCCGGGTTCAATTCCGGTCAAGGGCATGTACCTTGATGCAAGTCTTGATCCCCAGGCCTGTTTGGGGCTTGTGTGGGAGGCAACCAATTGACATGTCTCTCTCACATTGCTATTTCTCTCTCCCTCCCTTCCACTCTTTCTAAAAATCAATGGAGAAATATCCTCGGGTGATGATTAACAACAACAACAAAAAAGAATATAACACAAAGGTTTTAACTCTTCTATTTATTGGTTGTATAAACCTAGATAAGTTAATCTTTCTTAGGCCTCAGTTTCATCTGAAAAATGAGTAGTACCTATATCACGGGATTCATGGGAGAGTTCCCTGAGAAAACACACATAAAAGAATTTAATATAGTGCCTAAAACATGGGATGTATCAAAAAAATACTTTTTTTAAGTATTCTTAACTCAATTTCTCACAATTACACTACTAACGAGGAACCACTGTTATACTTTTTTCCAGTCTTTTCAAATAGATATTTATGTAAGTACTAGAGGCCCAGTGCATGGATCCATGTACCGGTGGGGTTCCTCAGCCTGGCCTGAGCCCTCTCATAACCTTCTCATAACCAGCAGTCTGACATCCCCCAAGGGATGTAGTAGTGCGCAAAGTGGCAGGTGGCTGGGAGGAGCCTGAGCCCAGGGCCGGGCACTACACCACTCCCGCTCATCCCGGCCCTGCTTGGTAGCACTGCTGTGGAGACGGGAGAAGCTTGCACTGCCACAGCTGCGCTCGCCAGCTGTGAGCCCAGTGTCTGGCGCCTGTAGGTCAGCTGAGCGGCGCTCCTGCTGTGGGAATGCACAGACCACCAGGGGGCAGCTCCTGCATTAAGCATCTGCCCCCAAATAGTCAGTGCACATCGACTGGTTGCTTAGGGTTTTATATAGACTAGAGGCCCAGTGCATGGATTCGTGCACTGGTGGGGTCCCTCAGCCTGGCCTGCACCCTCTCGCAATCCAGGACTCCTTGGGGGATGCCGGACTGTTGGTTTCGGCCAGGAACCTGTGGTGTTCGGGCTGAAATCGACAGTCTGACATCCCCTGAGGAATGTAGTAGTGCACGAAGTGGCAGGTGGCTGGGGAGGAGTCCGAACCCGGGCTGGGCACCACGCCCTGGCAGCTCAGTACCGCTTCCAAGGAGGCAGGAGAGGCTCATATTGCCGCAGCTGCGCTCGCTAGCCATGAGCCCAGCATCTGGCGCTGTCAGCTCAGCGGTGCTCCCACTGTGGGAGCGCCCTGACCACCAGGGGGCAGCTCCTGCATTGAGCACCTGCCCCTGGTGGTCAGTGCATGTCACAGCGACCGGTCAAACAGTAGAATGGTAGACCAGTCGCTTAGGGTTTTATATTACCCTATATAATAAGAGGCTAATATGCAAATCAACCGAACAGCAGAACAACTGGTAGCTATGATGTGCATTGACCACTAGGGGGCAGACGCTCGACGCAGGAGCTGCCCCTGGTGGTCAGTGAGCTCCCACAGGGGGAGTGTCACTCAGCCAGAAGCCCTGAGCTGGGCTCACGGCTGGCGAACACAGTGGTGGTAGCAGGAGAGGCTCCCGCCTCCATGGCAGTGCTAAGGATGTCTGACTGCCAGCTTAGGCCGGCTGCCTGTCAGTCAGACATCTCCTGAGTGCTCCCGGATTGCGAGGGGGCACAGGCTTGGCTGAGGGACCCCCCTCCCTGACCTAGTGCACGAATTTCGTGCACCAGGCCTCTAGTAGATATATAATGTACAAATCCATTGTATGTTTCTCAAAAAAGACTGCAATATTTATCTTACAGCCTAAGTGCCCATCAGCAGATGAATGGATTAGAAAACTGTGGTACATCTACACGACAGAATACTATGCTGCTGTAAAAAAGAAGGAATTTTTGCCATTGGCGACAGCATGGATGGAAATGGAGAGCATTATGCTAAGTGAAATAAGCCAGTCAATGAAAGAAAAATACCACATGATCTCACTCATTTATAGATAATTAAGACCATTATAAACTGATGAGCAAAAATAGATACAGAGGCAGAGCAACATCGAACAGACTGTCAAACTACAGCGGGAAGGCTGGGGAGGGTAGAGAGGTGGGTGGGGGGGTAAGAGATCAACCAAAGGACTTGTATGCATGCATACGAGCATAACCAATGGACACAAGACACTGAGGGGCATGGGAGGCTAGGGGAGTGTCAAGGGGAGAAAAAAAAGGAGACATATATAACACTCTTTGTAATACTTTAAGCAATAAAACAATAAAAAGATATTTATCTTACTCTTTCAGCCTCATGTATTTTTCTGTATCATTAAGTATTTTTCAAAAACATCTTCCTTCAGAGAAACTAAAATAAATGTAGTCTACACTTGTTCCACCACAAGTTCTGGTAGAAATCAGGTGATTTTATTTATTTATTTATTTATTTATAAATATATTTTTATTGATTTCAGAGAGGAAGGGAGAGGTAGAGGTAGATAGAAACATCAATGATGAGAAAGAATCATTGATTGGCTGCCTCCTGCATGTCCCCTAGTGGGGATCGAGCCTGCAACCCAGGCATGTGCCCTTGGCCGGAATCGAACCCAGGACCCTTCAGTCCCCAGGCCGACTCTCTATCCACTGAGCCAAACCAGGAAGGGCGAAATCAGGTGATTTTAAAAGAGAGAAGCAGATGCTAAATGTTTTGTGATATTCTCAGTGGTC